AGACCCATCTGTTTTCAAAATTCATTGAGGAGCGCTGTTGAACATCGCGGAAATAGCGCTTTATAAGCTAATTGATTGATTGATTGATTGAATATAACTTTATATTAAATAAAAAATACTTTTATATTTAATTGTCTATGTTTAAAGGTCTTTTTTAAAAGTGAATTGATTACTAAAACGAATGCATGCGAGTTGAAAAAACTTTTTTCATACCGAATAATGGTGGATAAGGATCAAAATAAAAATTGATGAGCCTAATATTAATAAATCTGAAAAGTTTTAGTGGTGATAATTGTTGAAAATGTTTGAAAACGGTTTGTTAATATTATCATCGTCGGCTGTCAGCGCCTCCAAAGTTTTGCACAGATGTGGTTGCTATGTTCAGAAAGTTTTATACATACATTTACTTAACAATAATAATTATAATTATATTATTAATAATTGCAATGATATGACCAATAATTATAATGATTTGCCTAATTTGCAATCCGGGAATAATAATGACACGAACGTTGACTATATTTTTAATAGTCCCAAACCTTTTTTGAAATTTATTAATGATTTTTACTTGCATTCTGTCACCAATGCTAAATATGTAGATGTTAAATTTCTTTTATCTAACATTGCAAACCACCACCCGACTCAAGATAATGATACAAAGATACTTTCACATTTCCTCAGTGCCGGATTTCAAGTTTTACTAACTGACATCAGTGAGCAAAACCACAATTCTTTGAACGAGTATGTTAAAAACTGCTTCACAAACTCATCACACATATCAACAGCTCAACTGCCTGTACAAGTTTTACAAGATATTCAAAATGACTCATGTATCCCAGCAACTTCTATTAATGATTATGGCAGAGAAAAAGATGAAAAATTATGTTTCAGCAAATATAACCATGCTTGTTTAGGAGGAACTTTTGATAGGCTGCATGTTGGTCACAAAATTTTGCTTAATCAGGCTGTTTTAGTAGCTAGAGATGAGTTGACTGTTGGCGTCACAGATGGAGTAATGAATCAAAGTATGTGTTTTGTTTTATATAACTGTTAAGAATAATTTTTGTTTAAGCTCTATTCATTCAGATTTTGATTCTGTGAGAATTTGTGGTATACTTCATTCACTTTTTACTTGTTTATCCTATTAAATTTTAATGAGATATAATAAAATAGTCATATTATAATTACTAACCTTAAGTCATAACTAATCCACCAATAATTATGTAAATTCTCATTTCACACAACCTTCCAATTAACATAAACAAAATGAATCTTAAAATAACATTTTTTTTAAATTGAAATTCTGCAGAGAAATTCCTATCAGATCTGATAGAGCCAACAGAGCAGAGAATATCTGTACTTAATTCATTTCTAACCGACATTCAGCCCAACCTAAAATACAACATCATCCCAATTACTGACATGTTTGGTCCAAGCACCACAGACCCAACCATCGACTGCCTGGTCGTTAGTGAAGAAACCACGAAGGGTGGTGACATGGTTAACGATGAGAGAGTGAAAAAGGTAAATAAGATTTTGCTGAATTTTGAATTTTTTCGAGTTGAATATATTCTTTATATTGAATTGAATTTATTTGTTTATGCCCTGAACTAAAAGGAACCGGCGCGATTGATTACATATAGGTCAGGGGAGCATAGGTCGATGATAGACTATATATTGGTAAGGGCCAAACATAGAAAGTATGTAAAGAATGTGAAGGCGATACCTGGTATGTTGCAGCATAGTATGGTTGTGATGGATGTGACATCAAAAGAAATGGGGAGGAGGAAGAAGGATAAGTTTGTGGCAAAGAGAAAGACATGGAAGTTGCAGGATGCAGAGGTGAGAAAGGCATTTGAAGTGAAGGTGGCTGAAAATTGGGAGAGTGGTAAGGATGGAGATGTTTGGGAGAGATACAGGGACTGTGTGTTGGCTCCGGCAGATAAAGTATGTGGATGGACGAAAGGAAAGTGTAGGCATGGTGAGACGTGGTGGTGGGATGAAGATATAAGATGGGTTTTGGAGGTCAAGAAGGAGAGGTTTAGGGTATGGAGAAGGGACATGACGGAGGAAGCGGAGTTTGAGTATAAGAAGGCTAAGAAGGTTGCAAAAGAGGCAGTGGCAACTGCAATGACGAAAGCATCAGATAGGTTAATGAAGGAAATGGAATTTGATGTGAGTTCGAGGAAAATGTTCAAAGTAGCAAAGCAGTCAATGAGGGATAGGAAAGATGTTATAGGGAATGGATGTGTTTGGGATGGATC